ATTGACCCCAGGTGATAAACTTCAGGACACTGAGGTCTCCCAGGTTTCAGCTTATTACTTGGTCACTTCCAAGTCTTCGGCCAAAATGGGGGTCATAATCAGAGTCATTGTGGTCATCTTTGCTACTATCCTTTACTTTATTCATATATACATGTATATGATACATATATATATATGATTATATATGCATATGCATATACATACCAAGATACTCTTGCCTTTTTAGCAGTTGCATTTAGTTTGAAATACTCCGCGATCCCACTACAATGTATTACAACATCTGTAGCTGACATTCCGAACGCCTGCCATGGCTTCAGGGGAACGGGCACCGTAGAAAGCCTCGACTCCTTAACCAACGTCTTCGCAAGGTTGGAACGGCCACGGCACCTTGGAAGTGGTAGATTCTGGAGGCATTCTTTCAATGGCCTTTTTAGGGACCTAATTAGAGGTTCTGAGTAAGAACCAACGTGGAAACAGCAGCAACAATGCAGGTATAGTGCTGCAAAGAGCAGGATAGAAACAACGATTATGGATACTTTCCGGCAATGATTGTGGAAGGCAACACCTTTTTCGGTCCTGGTTGTCAATACTTTACCCAGCCCGGGTTCTATTGGTTGTGTGGGTCTGAGTCCAATTTTAACGCGTAGGAAAAGGTCATCTACCTCAATCCTATGAAAACTGGAGGGACATGGGCAAATTTTGTGACCCATGCCATGCCATCTTGTGCAGCAAGAACAGTTACAGTCACCCCTTCCCCCTAATATCAAATACCGTTAAATATCTTCATATGGGTACCAAAATTATATACTCAACCAGTATTTAAGGGGGTCGGATTGGTACTTTTAATGTTGCTGAACCCCCAAGCCGCAATTTCCCTCCCATTCGCAATTGCCAGGACGGACACAAGCTCCTCTGCTCGGACGACCGTCGCTTGGCGATTTCGGTGGGGATAACATGGTCGCATTCGCACCAGAGGTTTCTACAGAGGCACCTCGGGTGACCATTTCCCTTTTTTGGAAAAGTCATGGAGTAAAAACATGTAAAAACCACAGCATATTTCAGGGACGAACAAAGATCTACCAGCTGTCAGAAAGTCCTCCAGGCATCTGACCTTGCTCCTGGCAGGTGTGGGACAGTAGACCAGTCCAACACGTCGTGGATCGACTTTTTTCGTCTCCCTACTTAGGATAGAAACTGAGCCTCAGTTTCTGTGGGATGACATACTTTTGTGCCGCTCAGAATCCTCCAATCAACGCGGACCCGGGTCCACGCCGCGAAACGCCTTCAGGAAGAGTTGCCGGAAGACGTTCCGAACCGCAACCGCAGCGAAAATTTGGATGAGGCAGCGGAGACCCCCGTGTGAACATCGACAGCTTTGCTTCCGACTGGGAACTCATTGGACATTCCTGGCCACCATCTTGTTCGTGCTTGCGGGTTTCATGTGAGATTAGACATTGGGATTCTATGTTTTTCCATTGTTATTTCTTTTCACACTAGTTGGGATATATATATATATATGTGTGTGTACACGTGTATATGTATGTATGTATATATATATATACACTTATATGAATGTTTAATATGATGAGATAACCCCTATATGTTGAAATCAATCCACTTATATGTGGAACAGCACCCCCCAGGGCCCAGGGCAGGGTTTAAACCCAGGGTTTTTCACTCGCCGGATGTCCACAGGATGGACTGTCGCACACGGCGTCGGTTGCGCATTCAGACACCATGGCCCGTTTGCCCGGCTCCCAGTCGGGTCACGACCATTCTCGGTTGCTTAAGGATTTCTAGGAAAATGGCTGTCTCAAAATGGGGTATCCCCCCAAATAGCTACTACAGTCACCGACAGAATTATGGAAAAAAAAACGTTTCAATTTACAGGCGCCGCCTGTCTATGATAGAAAAGTTACGAACCTTTTTTTTTTTCTCCATAATTATTGTTTCCATAATTATTTTTTATTCCATAATTCTGTCGGTGACTGTATGTCCATCGATTCGCAATTTGAATGCATTTTAAGGGGGAATATTGAATTATAGAAAATATGTGTCTAAAGATCTGGTATATGCCCCTAAGTCTTCCATTGATATACATAATATCATGTGATGTTCGCAATTTAAATGCATTTTAAGGGGGAATATTGAATTATAGAAAATATGTGTCTAAAGATCTGGTATATGCCCCTAAAGCCTGCCATTGATATACAGAATATCTGGATGTTTCCTTTTGCCAAGCCACCAATTGGGTTGATACTACATACTTGCATTTGCATACATATTTCCATAACCCCCAAAAAAAACGGGTTTGAATTGTGGATCCATGACATGTCCAACAGGTGGAGCCCCAAACATTAATTATGGAAAAAAAGTAATTATGGAAAAACCGGTCAATCTGCCCTAGCCCCCTGATTTCACAGGAAAAATCAATTATGGAAATAATGGCCACCTCCAAGAATTATGGAAAAAAAGGTTCGGATCACTTCCGGGATATTTTGAACCCTTATGGGGAAAAATCCAATTATGGAAAAATCGGACGCAGGCGCCGCCTGTCTAAGTTGAACGTTTTTTTTCCATAATTCTGTCGGTGACCATAGATCATGTATTTTCAGAAGCACAATCATGATAAACCATCACAAGATTTTGGGGTACTTTTTTTTCCCCCAACTGCGAAAGCTAATGGGGTCTGCAGCCCAGAATAGCTCCGGTGTGCACTGGTGCAGGCGCCGGGTCAGGTTCAACGAGGTTCCGGAGAAGATTCCGGAGAAGGTTCCGGAGAAGGTTCCAGGAAGCCTTGGTGCAAAGCCAAGTCAGGTTCAACGGGTTCCGTAGAAGGTTCCGGAGAAGGCCTGGGAGGCTTTGGTGCAGAGCCAGGTCAGGTTCAACAGGGTTCCGCAGGTTAGGTTCAACAGGGTTCCGGAGAAGGTTCTGGAGAAGGTTCCGGAGAAGGTTCCGGAGAAGGTTCCGGGAGGCTTTGGTGCAGAGCGAGGTCAGGTTCAACAGGGTTCCGGAGAAGGTTTCGGAGAAGGTCTGGGAGATTTTGGAGCACGCTGAGGTGTTTCCAGCGCTTGGCTTCGCAGCATGCTTCACAAAGATTGGTAAAAATAAAACGATGCGGCTGTTGAGGATACCGCCAAAGCTTATTTTCAGACAAACCCAAATGGCCGATATTCACAGGGAACCCCCCCAAGCAGACCTCAAGCCGAAGAGCGACCATCAGCCGGGATTCACTTGACCTGCGGCATTGAGTTGAAAACTTAGACCATCTACTTGAGGGCCCAGAGCCTGTTCCGTCTAGAAAATCATGGGAAATACATCCAGCTCCCGTTCATCCATTAATGTGGGTAAAACAATGTCGTTAACCGCTCATGACTGGGAATGGCTTGATTGTTGTCCCCATACCTACCGTCATGCCTACCTAGGCGCATTTGTTGTCCCGGGCTTCGCAACAAGAGTCTGGATCCCTAAACTTGGCCGATGGGACCACAGGGACCAGTGTACTCCGAAAAACTTTGTGGTTCCATGGCATGTTGACCCTCCAAACAAATGAAAAAGTCAAATCCGAAAGCTGAAAGAGTGGTGGATTATTTCTCGATTTTTTTCTGTTTAAGAACTAATTCTTAGCCAAATTTTGGAGCTGCGAATGGCATTCCTTCAGGGCCTTGAACTAGAGACTGGTTTTGTGTCTTTCAGCGGGGAAGACCCACCCAAAGTATAGAAAGAGAAGAGATGTTGTTCCTAGTTGGGGATAACTTTTTGGTCACTAGAAGTCACTGGTAGATTTTTCCCTCGCTACATTGCTATGTCCATGGCTGTGATGTTCGCATCTACGGTAAGACCCTTCCAATGGCTCCCTCACTCCGAGTTAAATCGTCCCATGGAGTACTCTGAATCTATCCATGTCATATGTCACAGTCTTCGGTGAAGGCCCTTTGGTAGTTTCCAGTCATTTTTCTGGAGTAAGCAGTCACCATTCCAGTTGCGGACCGGTCATGGTTCAAATGACAATATATAAATTATGTTGATTTATAAACTCCAACAGCAGACATGTCCACCATAAATATCCCAGTTGAATTCAACATTTCGAACGCACCGCTCCTATGAAACAGGGGGCCGCCCTAGCCCCTGTCCTGAGGCCAATATTTTGACCAGTGGCTGAGCTCCAGATGGTCAATCTCACAGAGCGTGCGCCTGGAGAACAGGATCTGGGAACCAAGAAAAAATGGTTGTCGTTGTTGTTGTTGTTGTTGTTGTTGTTACAGAATCCCTTGAAAAAAATCTGGGATCGGGGTGATTGTTTTCTTTGGGCACCGAAACTGAAAACTTGACGAAGTTTTGGGCCTGGGAAAAGCCTCAGTGGATCCAAGAAACTTCCAAGGTTGGAAGCCCTGAGTTTTTTTTTGTTTCAGTTCGTAAGTGTACTTCCCAGTTGGTAAGTGGAGTAAAGCTAAATAGGATGTCTTGCATATGGATTAATCATGATTAATCCTTATTGGCTAAATTCCCATCTAATCCAATACATTTGTGTTGACGAAATCCATTGAACAATCACCACTGCTGGTTAAATCACCAATGGATAACATCACCGATGATATTCCCACATGAAAATAGCACCATCTATATTACCCCATTGTTCCAATTATTTTTCCTGTTCAATCTCCGATTCTTAGCCATTAAAAAAAATGTGCCATGATCAAAAGTTGGATTGTACACCAAAAAAAAAGGGGCATGGATACAATCAATCCATTCCCTTCACGGGATTTATTTCCACCCATCAGAACCTCCAGGTATTCTTGTTGGTGGTCTTCGTGTTGAGTTGTTGGGGCACCAGGGTGGCCCCATGGTGACCTACGCCGAAAATGGCCGAAAATCGACCCGTGAATTTTAGCTGGTCAGATTCCAGCATTTTATGGGACAGGAGCAATCATGTGGTAAAGTCACCAAAGTAAAGCGTCCCCAAAGTGAGTTTATGATGGGTGTAGTTCGAACCTCAAATGGTCTCTGCGAAAAATGAGCGAACACTTTTCAGGACTTCAGTCCCGTGGGAATTGGAACGATTAACTACCACCGCCGGGTAGATGACTTAAGAGTTAAAGATGCAGAGACGATCAACTTATCAACTTCAGAAGGGCAATCTACCCTCTGGTAAACATACAAAAAGCTATGGAAAATCACCATTAATAGTGGATTTTCCCATTAAAAATGACCATGTTCAATATCTATGTTAAATTACCAGAGGGTATAACCTTCAGCAATTGAACATGGTGACAATCACTGTGTTCAATGCTTTTTCCCTTGCCATGTTTGTCTTTCACAAGAGGACCACCATATCTGGCAACACATCGCATTGCACACATCTTGATTTCTAGATATTTGATAGTCCGTGGTAATCAAACATGGCAAATAGAATATCGCCTGTTTGATATTTCGACATGCTTTTCCCAGCTATAAATGTTCATTTGTAGTGGTTTTCAGTTTTTTTAAACCATATTTTCCCATATAAAACTTGGTTTTCAGTTTTTTTAACCATATTTTCCCATATAAAACTCATGATTTCCTATGAATCCAGAGCTTTCGTGAACCGGGGAATTTCTACAGAAGGCACGTTGAAAGCCTCGCCGAGGCTCAGCCAAGTTTGTACTGGGAGACGTGGTCTACGTGGATCGTTTCTGGGCGGATCGTTTCTGGGTGGTTTGAAAATGCCGGGCTTATCCCATTCTGGCTGGTGGTTTGGAACATTTGGAACATTTGGAACATTTGGAACATTTGGAACATTTTTTTTGGGAAGAATCATCCCAACTGACGAACTCCATCATTTTTCAGAGGGGTAGGTATACCACCAACCAGATAATCTCCCACTTTATATACCATTTGCCCGAGTTCAAGTCTGAAAATTTCGTGGCTTATCCCATTCATAAATCTGTTTCCTAAGTCATGGGGGATCCCCAATAGCTGGATGGTTTTAGAAATGTTTAGAATGAAAGATCCGAACATGACATGGATGATTTGGTACCCCCATTTTACGAAACCTCCATTTCCTGGCTCCCTGTTTATAGATGGCTGACCTGACTGGGGTTAGTTCAGCCATCTACTAAGTAGGGAAATGAAGGCCAGTATAGCCCCGGAACAAATCATCAACCAAGGCTACGGGTCTTGAAACTGCTCAAGATCTACCAAAATTTTATGGTTAATCACCACTGATCCTTGCGATTGAATGCGATCGAACGATCTATTGCCATAAATTGAGCATTTAATATCATTTAATCTTTCATTTTCAGACAAGCCCATTTGTGTGGCTTTTTGGGGTGTCCCCAGGTGTCCCCAGGTGTCCCCAGGTGTCCCCAGGTGTCCCCAGGTGTCCCCAGGTGTCCCCAGGTGTCCCCAGGTGTCCCCAGGTGTCCCCAACCCTTTGGTGTCCAGCCAAATCTTGAGGCATCAATTACTTTTCGTACGGTGTTGTGACTAACGCTGCGTCGCTGCTTACGTCCCTCACCGTCTCTTTCACCATCGAAGGACTGACAGCGACTAAGGAACTGGACTCTGAATGGTACTCGGATTGTGACACGATATTTCTATCATGATTAAGGAGACATCTGCATCTTGGGTCTTGGGGTCTTTATTTCCGTTCTTTTTTAGTGGTGCTATTTAAAAAAGTCGCGAAAAATCAGTTTGTTTCCGTGGCCAAAAATTCTCCGTCGCAAAGTCGCCAGGATGTCATGCGATCGACAAAGTCTTCTCCTGGAAAGCGCTTTGGAGATTCACCGGGGTCTCGTTTCTCTTCACCTGTGTGCGGTCCCTGGAAAGGGCCCTGGAAAGGGCCAAGGCGGCCAAGGGCCCCCAGGATGGGATCCTAAAGGGATCCAACGGAAGTAAGGCGTTACTGGAATGTGCATCAGTCAGAAATGGAGGTTTAGAATGGAGGTTTATAGCTGGGAAAAGCATCTGATTTAGAGTGGATTTGACATTGCCATTTTTTTTGGTTAGCGGAGGGTAATTGCAGATCATCATGTTACGAAACCAACTTTATACACCTCACGAAACGCCAGTGACAATAACCAGGTGCCTTTGGTGGAACCCCCAAAGTTCTTGAGGTTTGTTTGCAAACAGTTTTGCTGTTCAGTTTTGGGAAATCCATTGTTTCGACAGGAACATGATCTACACATGGTGTTATTCATGGATATTCATGGGGAGTAAACCCATCACTGTCGATGGGTTTGTAACTTTGGAAGCCCATCGCTAGGGCCCCTCTTCGCCAAGATTACAATGCCCTATCGCATTGTACCCTCTGGTGATATCCACTTAATGATGGGTTAGCTCTTATCCCACCAAAAACACAACTGGTTGGTGGTTTGGAACATTTCTTATTTTTCTATTGGGAACAATAATCCCATTTGACTTTCATATTTTTCAGAGGGGTTCAAACCACCAACCAGACAAGGTAGTCTGATTTCTAACCCTTTTTGGCACCCGATTCCACAGCATTTTCTAATCGGGGATCCAGCTTCAAACATCGCCATAGATATGAAAATTTGCTTATTGAAATCCCATATGCCATGATGGTTTTCCCCCAGAAAATGGTATTTCCCTATTTCGATGGGATTTTTAAAACCACTACTGGAGATAAACGACGTACTTTTGATAGTTAAATCATGTTAAATCCACCTAAATTATGGTTCAACAACCGACTTTTTTTCTGATTAAATCATCATAAAAAATGATAGTTAACTATATGATCCACTTTTTTGATAGTTAAATCCACCTATTATGGTTCATCCACAGAATCCACAGAAAAAATTGGTGGTGAATTCCCTCGGGAATTTCTCCGAGGCCAGCGCTCTGGTGGCGCTGTCACGTTGGACGGGCACCTCCAATGTGCAGATCGTCACGGTGCGGAAGGGATTTGTTCAGCACCAGAAGTTGGGGTTTCCTAAGTCATGGGGGTACCCCAAAAACGCTGGATAGTTTATTTAGGATGAAAATCCATCTAAAATTAGGATGTTTTTTTTTTTGGGGTAGCCATATGACTTAGGAAACCTCCAAGTTGGGATATAAGGATATATAAGGCCCATAAGTATGGTGAAATATATATAATCTTAATTATAAGGTGGACGTATAATATATATATACACATATAATATATATATAATATATATATATTATATCTCGCCTTCGTAATTCATATATGACGAGGTAGTGCAACAGTGTAATCACCAAAAAATAATTGGATTGACTTGGTATTTTGTCAGCTGCTCAAGTGTATAATCAGAATAACTGTTTTTTTTTTCCATCATGAGAGCATACGTTTCTTGGAAGGACTCCCAGCTGTTTTAGTTTTGCATGTCATAGCCGCCATAGCCTAGCGGCAACAAAGGTCACCTGAACGGCGCTGGCAGGTTGGTTATCTATATCTCCCTTTGTCAGTGATCATGAGCTACTACGTCTTCTCCCGTCGCAGACCCAAGGGCCCAAGGGGCCTTTAAGGGCCTTTAAGGGCCTTTAAGGGCCTTTAAGAGGTACCAAGGGGTCACCCCCTTTGCACTCAGACCTCGTGGCAGCGTTGATGTGCTGAGGTAACTACGGGAAATTGGAGTGGTCTGAAGCCAAGTGCACGGGCTCCACCCCAAACTGGCTCATTATCCGATCGCAAAAGTTTGTTTGTTGTTCTTCTGATTTTATCTATTGCATCTATTCTATTTCTATGATTTTGGGACCATAATTCATGAATGGTAAGAATACCCTACAATCACGTTTAGATCATGAAAAAGTAGCCTACAATACGGGACTTCTATATCTGAATAGATCCAATGGAATCCACCAACAATGTTTTTTCCTCACACCAGGCTGACTTGCGGGATGATGACCATGGCCGTTTTGACCTATGTCATGCTTCGAGAGCAGTGCGGAAACCAAGATGGAACCTGGGGGTTTCGATGGTTTTTCCAAAGGGCAGCTATGGATAGCCATCGTTGAGATTGGGGAAGATGGATGAAGATGGTGTGATGATGTGTGATGTATATATTCTATTATATTCTTAGATTGTCCTGCTGATTTTTCACTGCCATTGTTTTCATGTGAAAATTCAGTCAGAACAAAGTCATGTGATCCAGGCTCATATTCCGATCAAAACTTCCTGTGGAAATTCCATGATGGAAGTGCCAGAAAAGGGCAGAAAAGGTATACGTACCAGTTTATGATCATGTCACAGATGATGCCATCCATCTATATCTATATCTAGATCATTCTATATATATATAAATATGACTACATGTACATGCACGCACACGTATACAGAACCATATCACATTTCATTGTGGTTGTATGTCGAGATATGTGGCTAGGGCCATGTATTGATAGATATCATTAGATATCTGAAAAAAACACTCCAGTAAACTACTGTAGATCTGGAATAGATATCAGATATCTATTCAAAATACTACATCTGTAGGTATATATATATATATATTGTGTATATATATATATATTATATAAATAGATAGATATCTATAAATATACACTACTGTAGTTTTTTACATTCAAAGATAGATCAAATCGACCTCAGCCGTGTCGAGGTGTAGAGACTTGGAGGAGACGCACCTTGGGGTGGAGGACTCACATCCCTTGGCCAGGTCAGGGCCTCGTTTTTTTGCCCATGAAATGGACCGGTTTTTTAGGAAATCACTCATGGGATATTCATGGGATTTTTATTCAGTGATTCAATGGGATATTCATGGGTGGATTTTTTTATTTTTTGTGATCTATAGATGGGATATTCATGGGTAAAAAATACCCTCTGGTTATGACTAACATAGCCATGGAAAATGGGATTTTAGAGTGATTTTTTATGGGCGGCCATTCATGGGATACTCAGCTCCTTGGCTGGAACATCACCCATGTGATTAAAGATTTTCCCATCGGGATTCGCCAGCTTGCCCGCCACGTTTGAGTAGGGGTAGCGGCAAAGAATGGGTCAAGAGCCAAGTAAACTATGGGGTAACTGCCCTTGAATTCTGGATCGTTCCTTGCGTGAAACCATGCAGTTTCGTAAGCTATGCTGAGCAGCCCAATGAAGGTGGGAGAATGGGTACAATTTGTACAAAGTCAGCATTTACAGAAGCGATTGAGAAAGCAGCCCAGACTCGGGAACGCAGGAAAAACATGATGGACATGTAGTTCATATGATATGTTCATATGCCCTTGAGAAAGATTGGAGATTGGATACAGTCCAGCATGAGATGGAACCCCCTGTGGCATAGGCTGAAGTCTTCTTTCACACCAGCTGGTTTCGGACTCCTGGCCTCTCGGCGGCCGAAAGGATGAGGATCAAATTTCCAAAAGTCTCTGGCACTGAATTTGCCCTATGGGGTTGAACAATCCCTTTTGCCCTTGTTGAAAAAAAACCCAAGTCTTTTGTTTTGGAGGACACCAAGTTATCATCCAAGTTAAAAAAAGGTCATTCGAACATAGGACGGGAGTATGCCACCCATTGGGAGCAACCCTCTTTCAACATCCTGGAAAGTAGGGTACCATAGGGCCATAGGGTACCCCATTTCACTGCTTAATCACACATTTCCCTACGGAAACTAGTATTTTTTGGGTACATACAACATCTTCAGAGACCCAGATATCCTGATATCCTATTGTTAGACATACATCAGACACTAACATCAACTAACATAATACCACATATCATATTGTTAGTTGATGTTAGTTGTATATCCTATTCACATAAGCCCAAAATTATGGGGTATAAGGTGGTGCTCCCCCAGCCATAGGTTGCTGTATAACCCCCATTCAAACGATATATCTATCTATCCATCCATCCATCCATCCATCTATCTATCTATCTATCTATATATATGTATAGATATGTCACACACACATATATATCTATAGACTATAGATTACTATAGATATCAACGGTAGATATAGTTATTAAACAACTCTAGATTACTATATATATATACATAATTATATTGTCATATTTCAAACATAGATAATATTGATTGATATGATGTATCATAGATATGACCCTCTGAAAAAAATAAACAGTTGGACCCTGAAAATCAGCCAGACTTAGTGGAAACCAGTCTTCCAACCCTATCTGCCAGGGTCTATGTTAAACCCACCTAAGGTAACTGGTGTGGTCTTCAGTGTCTCAGGCGCGCAGCGGGCGCGCCGAGGGGGGGGGGAAGATAAGGGGTGCCATATGATGGGAATATCTTGGTTAATATATAATGGTTAATATATATATAATGGTAAATAAATATATATATATATTTAATATATACATAGTGGTGATTTATATATATATATACATACATACATATATATATATATTTATAAAAGGAATATCATTGGGAATGACTATGGGAATAACACAATGTTGGCATATATGAGAATTATGACATATGATGGGAATATCGTCGAAGACACTTTACTTTTAGAAACCAGGGACAGGACCTTTTTTTCCCCTTGAGCCGCAGGCTCCATTGGAGCGGAGCGGATCTACAAGCACAAGTCGCGAGGCTTGACCTGGTGGCAAGGCCGCTTCTATATCATGAAGGTTGGGGGAAGACGGGGAGGACGGGGGCGCCAGTTGGTTGTAATGTGGCAAGCGCCAGTGCGAAAGTGAAGTAAAAGTTGGTAGATATGGTTTGGATTTATTTTGATGTGTATCTTTAGAATAGACTGATGTATGGAGTTTGTTATGTGTATATATATATATACATACACATACTTTGGGGTTTACGGCACTAGATGTCATCCCAGAACCATCGAAGCATGGGCTGTGGCCAGGTGCACATCGATGTCACCTCGCTGATCTTGAGTCTCATCTTGTGGGGTGTCAGCCATCTACTGGTAGGCGCGGAAAGGGCGCGGTGTGTCCGTGTCTCGTTTTCTCGCTGTGATGTAGTGGTGCCCCAGGTCGTTGGCTAAGTCGGTGAAAAAAACTCCAAGGGTTATGAACCAACTTATAACCGTGGGGGGGCACCACCTTGTGTGATGTAATGTAATAAATGTATATAATAAACCCAAGAATAGACTAGATCCCCAATTATGGATGGTTTAGTTCACCAGTGGGTGTAGCACATTATTGACCTTCACTACTTCCAACGAGGTACCCTGTGAATGTACGTAAATACCATTTCCAAGCATAGGATAAGCGAGTCACTGTTCCAGGGATGTACCCTCTGGCTATTTAACATAGCCATGGAAAATGGCCCATTTATAGATGGTTTACCTATTAAAAATGGTGATTTTCCATGGCTATGTTAAATAACCAGATGGTACATAGTCTGTATACATTCGAACAAATGCTGGAAACCATTCCGCCAGATTTTGGCCGAAGTGTCGGGTCCGGACAGTAAGTGATGTATCTCAAGACCTCCAGCCTTTTGAAGGTCTTGAGCCCAAAGTTGCAAAAACTGTTCAGTAAGTACTTCTGCAAAGGTCTTGGGTAGATTCAAGAGATATCCTTTTTCCGAATTGGCTTGGTTGATTGGTATAGTAGAGTGGTAGCCCCATATTTTTCGCAAACATTCCACGCAAACATTCCACATGAATGATGGTGTGTGGTTTTTCGCGGTCAGTAACCCCAGTGATTTTTATCCTATTTCAGTCCATCTGTGCGTGACCAGGCTAGTTACATCCTGTGAAATCAGATGGTCAGTTGGCCACATGTATTTGGTATCTTCAACTACCATAATGGGATGTTTTTTGGCTAACTTTTGCTTCCCCCTTGGAAACTACACTGGTTCCATTTTATCCCATTGCCTCCCAATTTCATGCCGATTGAACATCCCTATTATTGTATCCGAATTGTATCCCCGTCAAATATCCCAAATGATCTCCATATCCCAAGACACATCCCCATAACAATACTCATACTTCATAAATATTCATAATACTCCCCATGACTCAATGTTGTTCTTCAGCACCAGGACACCAAAAAAATATCAGGGCTCCCCAGATCAGCCTTCAACAGCCCCGACAGATGCGGCGCAATGCGCCGTAGGTCGAAAGGATGCCTTCTCTGATTGGTTCGCCCTGTGGTCGAGCTCCCCCGAGTGGTTTGGCCGATGGACCGCGGATGGGGAAATTTGGCGCCTCGGGTGGAGCACAAAGGAACCGTGGCAACCATGGTGGTTTTCCCCTGTTTTTTACGAGAGATTCAGAGATTTAGGACGCAAACATGGGGATCAAATGGGAAGTTCATGGGAAAATTCATGGGAGGTGATGGGATGTTTTGGAACCAACACCATGAAGTATGAGTGTGTTTGAAAATGGCGGATTAACGCCCCCCCCATTGACGTTTCTTTTCACAGCGAAAAGGATGATGAAACAGTGGACGAAATAGGGCCCTATTGTCAGACAAACCCAAGATGTAACCATATGGGATAACATGATATGGGATGACCAACATATTAATTGGGATGATTCTAATGGGATATAATGGGATATAATTGATGGATACTAGGAAAACAACATCGTCAAAGTATTCGGAAGGTAGGAGATGTGGAGGAGATGGAAAGGATCCCGCGATGGAGATGGGAATCCCATCTCCGCTTGACCTGATCAAAATGACCTGATCACAGCACTGGAAGGACCTGGTGGCAAGTGCTGGTAGTGATCATCGATGTGACGCAAGGCGGGGTGTTTCCGACTGTGGAGATGGGACGTGTCTGAAAATGGAGGATCAGCCCGAAGTGAAATGCCCCATTTTCATGGGGAAAAAAGATGATCCAAACATCATCAAGCATCAGCTTGTCATAGGGCCATAGGGGCCGGGAAAAGCTGTGAAGATGTGAGAAGATGATGATCAACGGGTGGGAAAAGGTGGGAAAATGGGGAAATCTGTGCCATCAACATTCATCAAACATTGAAGCCTTCCAGGCTGGTCAGCAGGACTGGTGACCAAAGAGTTGGGACCCCCAGGGACGACGCCTGGCCTAGTGACATGGATATATACACACAAGAACGCACAGGCCCACAAGTTACACAGTTATATTAATGTTAGAATATCTTGGATGTATATATATATATATATACACTAAGAATGTAACAAGCTACAAAGTGATGTTTGTTTTTGCAGGGCATCATTGGCCCATTGGGAATCCAGTCTCCTTCGGGCTGAGGCATTCAACGACCTTCAAGGCGATTATGCAGACGCTGTGCTACCTTTTGACCATGCTGGTAGAGGTGCTGGGGGATGGATAGGATCCCGCGCAGCCTTTCTTCAAAGCCCTCTGGGTCAAAAGTTGGGAACTGCTACACCACTTAGATTCCCACACCAGACCATCGACGTATGTATTAGTGGAATCCCGGCTCGAATTGGGTTGCCGGGTGCCTAGCATCGGCGCGATGCAATGCTTGCACAAAACTTTGCATTTGCTACCCTCTGCGAGGGACTTTGAGGTCAGAACAGCTTACCGCCGTTTCGCCCTATCCACTCATCCTGATAAGGGCGAGTCTGCTGAAGCCTTTCGTTCGGTAGTCCATGCATTTGAAACATTGGTTGATGCTCGTAGACGAGCTACCGATGACCAACTGTGGCGCCCTAATCAGTCGCCTTCTGCACCCGTGAGAAAGGATGTGCATCATCCAAAAAAGCGACAAGCAGAATCAAGAAGCACGTTTGGCAAGCCGCCCAAGGCCAAGGACAAGCGCAAGCCTGCCAAGCGGGCCAAAGACGCACGCGAGCCTCCGCAGAAACAGCAGAAGCCAGACGCACCGTCCGCCACCACGCCAGATGCAGAGATGGATTGCAACCCAGGAGATCATCCGCAACTTTTCTGCCACCTACTGCGGATCCCAAGAAAGCAAGCACTAAAAGAGTTTCAGAATCTGTCAGAGCAAAGGTTGAATGCCTTCGCACGGTTGGACTCAGATGAACCTGAAGAGATTTTGAATGAGCCACACCTGCACAAGTCCCGGAGTCCCGGATGCTTGCCGTGCAAGATCGCCCTACGTCAGGAAAGCTCCCAGCTCCAGCAGTGAGAGCACCTAAGAGGCACCGAATGAACACTGATACTGCTTGTGCTGCTGATGCTAAGCTGCAGAAAGGCATTTCTTGGCACAGGCAATGGGCATTTTACCAAACACGTACTGGGTGACCGCTTGTATTTCTTTGCTGACCAACTTCGTCATGGTGCAAAGTGTGAGACACTTGGATGTGGCCATTGACATGCACATCAGTCTGGTGCAGATGCGCCAGAACGTAAGGGCTGGTTTGGCAGACACGGATGACTTGCGATTTGGCCAAGATGGGATGAAGGAGGCGAAACCCGATTTCTTAGAGTCAAACACGGCAGCTTGCGAGCCATGGTAGCGTTTCCAGAAGCGTTTCCAGAGGATTCAGAGACAATGATGAAAGCTTGGGGCGTTCCTGAGCTCCCTGAAGCAACTGGAAGCTATGACTGCATTGTGCACAGCACCAGAGAGTGGTGGTTTCTGTCGTGATTGGCTGATGGCTTGCAGGTGAAATTTGAAGGGCTGAGGCACCATTAGGCGGATGAACATGGATGAACATCATTTGGCTCAAGATTATTTCAGCGAAATGTCTTGTTGCAACTTAGAATGTGTCAACTTTTTTGCAGACCAAAAAGTGACGACACGAGCTGCTACCAGCAGAGTGAGGCAGCATGGTGTCTTTCTGGATGGTTTTAGTTAGTAGGGGTTTATATCACCACTAATAGGATTAGACAAGGAGGCTAAACCATCATGTTTATGGGTGTTGAGCTAAGTTCAACATGTTTAAGCGTCATGCAATGGAGATGTATAGCCAATATATACATATATAATATAATATAATATATATATATATATATTATAAATGGGCTGACGCCCTGGTGCCGCCGACCCCCTTTCAAGGGTGGAGTTGCGCGCGCGGGTCCCACCAGGTTTTTGGACGGCAGTGTGATCGGAAAAGTTGGATAGCAACGTAACAAGGTTTTAAGGGGTGCTGAAAACGTGCAAGATAACAGTTTCGAACACCAATAGACACAGCTCGTGGCGCCTCGGAAATGCCAGATAGCAGCTTCGAAGCCCAACAGAAGCAGCTCGTGGCGCCTTGGGAGGTCCCATGGCAAATCAGTGAAACGCCGTCGAAAGCTGCTGGGAGGGTTTTGAGGCTTTTAAGGCTTTTAAGGGGTGCTGGAAACATGCCAGATGGCAGTTTCGAAGCCCCAATAGAAACAGGTTGTGGCGCCGCGGAAGTGCCAGATAGCAGCTTCGAAGCCCCAATAGAAACAGGTTGTGGCGCCTCGGAAGTGCCAGATAGCAGCTTCGAAGCCTAACAGAAACAGTTCGTGGGGCCTCGGGAAGTCCCATAGCAAAGCTGCTGGGAGGGTTTTGAGCGTTTTAAGGCTTTCAAGGGGTGCTGAAAACGTGCCAGATGGCAGTTTCAACGAAACGCCGTCGAAAGCTGCTGGTCAGAAGTGCCAGATAGCAGCTTCGAAGCCCAACAGAAACAGTTCGTGTTTCCAAAGGGCTTCGGGAGCTGCAATGGCAAGGCATTGCTTCTGAAGCTTTTGAAGCTTTGAAGGGGCAATGGAAAAGCACAAAGCAGGCACCGGGGCCATGCTCCACACCTACGGTGATCCCGGGCGCCGCCCCGCCTAGGCCAAAACTAGGCAGGGGTCGGCGGATTTTGAAGCTTTGAAGGGGCAATGGAAAAGCACAAAGGCAGGCACCAGGGCCATGCTGCAACAGTTCGTGCGAAGGCCAACAGAAACAGTTCGCGGGGCCTCGAGACCCATGGCAAAGCTCTGAAGGGGTGCTGGAAAGTAAGGCGTTGAAAGGCTGCTGGGAAAGGCTAGATGGCAGCTTCGAAGCCCAATAGAAACAGGTTGTAGCGCCTCGGAAATGCCAGATAGCAGCTGCGAAGCCCAACAGAAACACTGCCAGATGGCAGTTTCCAACAGAAACAGGTCGTGGGGCCTCGGGAAGTCCCATGGCAAAGCTACTGGGAGGCTTTTATAAGGGTTTTAAGGGCTGCTGGAAACGTGCCGGATGGCAGTTTCGAAGCCCAATAGAAACAGGTTGTAGCGCCTCGGAAATGTCAGATAGCAGCTTCGAAGCCCAACAGAAACACTGCCAGATGGCAGTTTCCAACAGAAACAGTTCGTGGGGCCTCGGGAAGTCCCATGGCAAAGCTGCTGGGAGGGTTTTAAGGGTTTTAAGGGCTGCTGGAAACGTGCCGGATGGCAGTTTCGAAGCCCAATAGAAACAGGTTGTAGCGCCTCGGAAATGCCAGATAGCAGCTGCGAAGCCCAACAGAAACACTGCCAGATGGCAGTTTCCAACAGAAACAGTTCGTGGGGCCTCGGGAAGTCCCATGGCAAAGCTGCTGGGAGGGTTTTAAGGGTTTTAAGGGCTGTTGGAAACGCGCCGGATGGCAGTTTCGAAGCCCAATAGAAACAGGTTGTAGCGCCTCGGAAATGCCAGATAGCAGCTTCGAAGCCCAACAGAAACACTGCCAGATGGCAGTTTCCAACAGAAACAGTTCGTGGGGCCTCGGGAAGTCCCATGGCAAAGCTGCTGGGAGGGTTTTAAGGGTTTTAAGGGCTGCTGGAAACGTGCCGGATGGCAGTTTCGAAGCCCAATAGAAACAGGTTGTAGCGCCTCGGAAATGCCAGATAGCAGCTGCGAAGCCCAACAGAAACACTGCCAGATGGCAGTTTCCAACAGAAACAGTTCGTGGGGCCTCGGGAAGTCCCATGGCAAAGCTGCTGGGAGGGTTTTAAGGGTTTTAAGGGCTGCTGGAATGGCAGTTTCGCCCAATGAAACCGGATGGCAGTTTCGAAGCCCAATAGAAACAGGTTGTAGCGCCCCGGAAATGCCAGATAGCAGCTGCGAAGCCCAACAGAAACACTGCCAGATGGCAGTTTCCAAACAGAAACAGTTCGTGGGGCCTCGGGAAGTCCCATGGCAAAGCTGCTGGGAGGCTTTTAAGGGTTTTAAGGGCTGCTGGAAACGTGCCGGATGGCAGTTTCGAAGCTCAATAGAAACAGGTTGTAGCGCCTCGCAAATGCCAGATAGCAGCTGCGAAGCCCAACAGAAACACTGCCAGATGGCAGTTTCCAACAGAAACAGCTCGTGGGGCCTCGGGAAGTCCCATGGCAAAGCTGCTGGGAGGGTTTTAAGGGGTTTTAAGGGCTGCTGGAAACGTGCCGGATGGCAGTTTCGAAGCCCAATAGAAACAGGTTGTAGCGCCTCGGAAATGCCAGATAGCAGCTTCGAAGCCCAACAGAAACACTGCCAGATGGCAGTTTCCAACAGAAACAGTTCGTGGGGCCTCGGGAAGTCCCATGGCAAAGCTGCTGGGAGGGTTTTAAGGATTTTAAGGCTGCTGGAAACGTGCCGGATGGCAGTTTCGAAGCCCAATAGAAACAGGTTGTAGCGCCTCGGAAATGCCAGATAGCACCTGCGAAGCCCAACAGAAACACTGCCAGATGGCAGTTTCCAACAGAAACAGTTCGTGGGGCCTCGGGAAGTCCCATAGCAAAGCTGCTGGGAGGGTTTTAAGGGTTTTAAGGGCTGTTGGAAACGTGCCGGATGGCAGTTTCGAAGCCCAATAGAAACAGGTTGTAGCGCCTCGGAAATGCAAGATAGCAGCTTCGAAGCCCAACAGAAACACTGCCAGGCAGTTTCCAACAGAAACAGTTCGTGGGGCCTCGGGAAGTCCCATGGCAAAGCTGCTGGGAGGGTTTTAAGGGTTTTAAGGGCTGCTGGAAACGTGCCGGATGGCAGTTTCGAAGCTCAATAGAAACAGGTTGTAGCGCCTCGGAAATGCCAGATAGCAGCTTCGAAGCCCAACAGAAACAGCACATGGCGCCTCGCCCAATCTCATGGCAAAGCTGCTGGAAGGTTTTGAGGTTTTTAAGGCGTTGAAAGGCTGCTGGGAAAGGCTAGATGGCAGTTTCGAAGCCCAATAGAAAGTTGTGGCGCCTGGGAAATGCCAGATATAGCAGCTTCGAAGGCCAAAGCTGCTGGAAGGTTTTGAAGGTTTTAAGGCGTTGAAAGGCTGCTGGGAAAGGCTAGATGGCAGTTTCGAAGCCCAATAGAAAGTTGTGGCGCCTCGGAAATGCCAGCTATAGCAGCTTCGAAGGCCAACAGAAACAGTTCGTGGGGCCTCGGGAAGTCCCATGGCAAAGCTGCTGGGAGGCTTTGAAGGCTTTTAAGGGCTGCTGGAAACGTGCCGGATGGCAGTTTCGAAGCCCAATAGAAACAGGTTGTAGCGCCTCGGAAATGCCAGATAGCAGCTTGGAAGGCACCAGGGCCATGCTGCACACCTACGGTGATCCCGGGCGCCGCCCCGCCTAGGCCAAAGCTAGGCAAGGGTCGGCGGATAATATATATATATAATATATATAATATATATAATATATATATATATATTTTTTTATATATTATATTATATATAATATATGTTTACTATGAAGAAAGCCAAATAAGGGACCCCAACACAGAACCAGGGTTTTCTTTACGAGCTATTACTCTTGGGGGAAAGGAATCATTCCCATGCATACTGGCGGCTCGTTGCGATTTAAGTTGCGCCCTCTATCTACACCTGGGGACCTGGTCGTTTCTTTCTGGTTAAAAAATACCACAATCTATGGGAGGATCCAGCCTGAATGGATCACCAATAGCAGTCATCAGTTAAGTTCCATAGCCATAAGGATAGGGCTTTGATCTCTGCTATTTTTTTTTGATCCCTAAAAATGTTTTTTTTGATCCTTCTCCCTAAGGATAGTTATATCACTTATATATATATATGATAATTATATAATCAGTGATATATGGGACACTATAGTTCTATGTGGCCCATATATCACTCGATTAAACTGCACCATATGTTTTTTCCATGTAAACATGTGCGGATCGAAGCGCATTCTGGATCCGGATGCTTGCGTGTTGCGTCGCCAGGATCCAGTCCTTGGCAACAGGCCAGGATGGGGGATGATGATGTGAAAATCAAAGGATGGAACAGGGGGTCC